AATACCACGAATGGGAATCTTCCACGGTGTTACGGTCTACCGAAAATTCACAAAGTTAACGCGCCTTTACGTATAATTGTTTCGTCACTTGGGAGCCCGGTTTACAGTATAGCGCATTTTTTACATGATATATTGGAACGATCAGTTACGAAACCTACCTCACATATTAAAGACGGTTGGACGTTCGCGAATAAAATCAAGAATTTGAGTATTGAGGATAGTGAAATGTTAATTTCTCTTGACGTCACATCTTTATTCACAAACATTCCTAAGGAATTAGTTTTAAAAGCTATTGAAAAACGTTCGAGGGATATTTCATGTAACACAAATTTTAGTTTGGCACAATTTTTATATGGAATCGACGCTATATTAGAATCTACTAGTTTTTGTTTCAACGATCAATTTTATGAACAGATACATGGTACGCCAATGGGATCTCCCCTTCACCTACTTTAGCAGACTTAGTTATGGCTGATCTTGAGACAGAATGTTTAAGCTCTTTACAATTTGACATTTCAGTTTATTATAGGTACGTTGATGATATTTTTGCAGTAGTACCACGCAATAAAATTGATAACATTTTGACTACGTTTAATAATTACCATCACCGTTTGCAATTTACGCATAAAACAGAGATAAATAACAAGATTAACTTTCTGGATACATTGGTTTTTAGAAACAATGGTAAACTATTGACTAGTTGGTACCAGAAACCCACCTTCTCTGGTAGATATTTAAACTACCATTCTAATTATCCGTTTAAATACAAAGTTAACACCATTAATAACTTAGTCGATCACGCTATTTTGTTATCGGATAAACGGTTTCATAATGAGAACTTACAGATGGTTAAAAAAATCTTGTCGAATAATTGTTTCCCTAGGACGGTCATTGAGCGATATGTGTATAAAAGAACATGTTTTTTAGGAAATTCTCATAACGTAGTTGACAAAAATAATGTATTTGATATTTCGTCTTGTATTTTAATGCCGTTTGTTAAGAACCTAAGTGAGGCTATTGAGAGATCTATTAAGAAAACAAGCTTAAGTGTTATTTATACGATTCCAAAAAAACTAGATATTGTTATTAAACCCCGAAAAGACAAATTACCTAAAGCCGATATGACCGAGATAGTTTATAAAGTTGACTGCAACGACTGTGACGCCACATACATTGGACAAACTAAAAGACACCTTAATACTCGGATTAAAGAACACATGAATAATATAAAAATGCATGTCAGCAACCAGAATGTTATAAGCAAACATAGAAATGATTTTTCGCATGACTTTAAATGGACAAACTTAAATATTTTACATCGAGAAACAAACACTAGGAAAAGAGAAATTGCTGAAATGTTTTTTATAAAAAAATTTAACAACACGATCAACCTACAGAAAGACACAGAATTTGAATCCGATTTATGATAGAATAATCAAAGCTGTTTAACTTAGTTCGCCTTTACCATCCATACTGAACGTTTTACTTGACACAGTATTTATATTGAAATGTGTAAAATGAAAAAACTTAATTATATATTGTACTAAAGATTTTATAAGGTACGTTTTAATTTGTTATTACAATCTTGGTTTACGCTTTGCTTTCTTAAAAATTGAAATTCTTGTATGTACATTTATTGTATTTTTTAATTTTTAATTTTTAATTTTAGACTTGATAAGGACCTAAACCTAAGGTCGAAACGTTGTCTTTTCTTGTATATGACATCAAACTAATAATAAGAATCAATTTAAGCCAGTTGGGTCGTCTCACAGTTATTTTTAATTTTATTCATCACTGGCGATACAAGATACCTGCTATAAACAATATTGTTTCAATACAGAAAATGTATACTTTGTACATATTTTTAGCCATTATTGAAAATAATTTGATAATATATAATGCAAGATCATGTTATAAAGAGATTAATCAAATTCAAAAAAGTATAAACATAAATTTTTTAATTGTTAATGTCAGTTTTCTTGGAAATAAAGATTTTTGTACAAAAAAACTTTATCAAAACAATGTACGTAATTGTTTTCAATTGCTAGCCAGTAAATAGCAATAATCAAATAATCGACCAAACTAGCAAGAATTGAATTTATTAATCTTCACGACGTTTCGACCATGTGGTTCCTTCTCAAGTAAAACACTAAAAAATTATTTTATACATAAAAATTACAAAAAATTATAAAGATGACAAAAAACGCATATAAAACTGTCCAAGTGCAGAACTGATAATATAATATTACTACTTACAATAGAATCAAATATAGCAAAATTTACATTTTTTGTCGAATTAAACATTATAACACTTCATGACAAAAATCAGAAATTAAAAGCGAGAGACAGTAATCAACGTGTCATAGCGAAGATCGTCAACAGTATATTAAAATTGTCAGTAAGTCTATTTTATAGTCGGTCATTGGACAAAACATCCTTACCACATTTAATAAGAATTGAGTTTTTTGGGATAATCTGTGGGTAACCAATGACTGTTCGAATAATGTTGTATATAAGATAAATTGCAATGATTGTTCTGCGACATATATAGGACAAACTAAGAGGCATCTTAGTACTAGATTTAAAAAACATCGGGATAATATAAAATTAGATATTACTTTGCATTCTGTTATTCAGCAAACATCGGTCTGATTTTGAACATAATTTCGATTGGAATAGTTTTAATATTTTATATACTGAAAAACATGTAAAAAAGAGAGAGGATAGCAGAAATGTTTTTCATTAAAAAATTTAATAACATAAATTCACAAAACGATACAGAGTTTAAGTGATATCTACAACAAAATAATTAAGATTGTATAAAATAGGCTTACTAACAATTTTAATTTACTGTTGACGATCTTCGCTGTGACACATTGATTACTGTCTCTCGCTTTTAATTTCTGATTTTTGTCATAAAGTGTTATAATGTTTAATTCGACAAAAATGTAAATTTTGCTTATATTTGATTCTATTGTAAATAGTAATATTATATTATCAGTTCTGCACTTGGACAGTTCTATATGCGTTTTTTGTTGTCATCTTTATAATTTATTGTAATTTTTACGTATAAAATAATTTTTTGTGTTTCAATTGAGAAGGACCACAACCACCTGGTCGAAATATTGTGAAGATTATATTAAATTCAATTCTTTTTCTAGTTTGGTTGATTATTTAATTATTTCTAAAAAAACTTCAGTTTATATATTTTCGATTTATTTTTGTACATGAGAAATTGCTTTTTATTCAGTGTTTTTATATATCTTATATTTTATTATCTATCTTTAAAACAAAATTTAGTATATAAAAAGGCCAACTAATCGAGCATTATTAGATGATATAAACTAAGTATTTATTCTATATAAGATAATACAGTACAAACGTTTCGACCGCATGCGGTCTTCTTCAGTATGGGAATTAAAAGTAGATGATCATAATTGATTGTAAGTCGCAATTTTATCGCCGAATTAGTGCACGTCGTGTTAAGTCAAATTACAAAACAGTATATTTCTTACGGATTGATCGCTCTATTGAGATGTTTGGCCGATCCTATAGATTTCAAAAATGAACACCCATGTACGTCAAATGTAGTCTATAAGATCAATTGTAAAGATTGCAACGCTTCTTATGTGGGCCAAACGAAGAGACAATTGCAGACTAGAATGAAAGAACACGTTAACAACATAAAGTTAGATTTGACAAGATATTCGGTAATCTCTGATCACATATCAAATGAACATCATTCTTTTAATTGGGACAACGTTAAAATTTTAGACAGTGAAACTAATTATCATAAAAGACTCATTTCCGAGATGTTACATATTAAGGAACAAAAAAAATGGGTTAAACCTAAATAGAGATACCGAGTTGCTTAGCAAATCTTATTTTGATATATTGAAAAAACTAGCAAACATGTAATAATAATAAAAAAAACACACAAGAAAAATAGTTCGTTAAAATCCTAAACACACTTAAACTATATAAACACACATAATTACAAAATGAGTACATTTGGAAATGAGAGGTCATGTTACGTTGGTACGGTCTAGTTGGGAAGCAACAAACATTACAAGTAAGCGCACATATCACGTAAGACCAATTTTTATATTTTGACACATTATTAATTTATTATATCTCACTACTCAAAGTGTCTTATGACAACAATAATTTCTCGCATACTAACGATGAAATCTATGGGATCGGCCAAACATCTCAATAGAGCGATCAATCCGTAAGAAATATACTGACGTTTTGTAATTTGGCTTAACACGACATGCACTAATTCGGCGATAAAATTGCGATTTACAATCACTTATGATCATCTACTTTTAATTCCTATACTGAAGAAGACCGCGTGCGGTCGAAACGTTTGTACTGTATTATCTTATATAGAATAAATACTTAGTTTATATCATCTAATAATGCTCGATTAATTGGCCTTTTTATATACTAAATTTTGTTTTAATCAATAGACAAGCGAATACGTTTTTAATATTTTATCTCTTTATTTAAAAATTTCTTTAAGTATGCAGCCTTTACATATGCAATATTTGGAGAAAGAAATTAAAGAATTTGATTATAAATATTATTCCATGTAATTTATAAAATAATTCATATTTGTACTTATTGAAATTATAATTTTGACTTGTGTGTGTATGTGTGTGTGTGTGGATATATATAATAAATAAATAAATAAATAAATATATATATATATATATATATATATATATAATATAAAAATCACGAAAAAATTACATATATATATATATATATATATATATATGTGTGTGTGTGTGTGTATCACAATTTGTCAAAATTTAAATAATAATATAATGAATTTATACATGGGATTGGATAACATATTAATGCATTCAACTATTTTTGATACAACCTTACAGATTTCAAATTATAATATAATTAACTTATTTTATCATTTGTTTATTTTTATGTAAACTTGTAATATTTTTTAACAAGTTTATAATGATTGTATGTAAATGTAATAATTTTTAACAACTTTTATTATCATCGATGAATCTTTCTATGTAATTTGGGTGCAGGAAGCATCTTGACAAGAGTAATAAAGTGAGCGATTAAATAGCCAAGCAGTGCACCAATTACACAAGGAATTGGCCAAGTTTGCCAAGGACGATCCCAATCCAAAGGACTCACAATAGCACCTAGCCATGTGCCTAATATTGTCGCTTGTATGTTGGTCCTTAGAGCATTTGCAAGGATATTGTTCTTTTGAAAATAAGATCCCATTAAAACATCCAATGCATTATCCACTCCTAAGTGCAGACTGGTAGCGACAAAAGTTAAAATAATCAATGTGATTACAAGCATTGTTGTTTCTTCATGATCAGTCATTATGGGTGCACCGAACAATACAATCATTACGTAATAAATGATTGACAATGCAAATGCAGTGAGCGAGAACTTGAAGATCTCTCTCAGGTTCTTCATCCAAGATCTTTTAATTTTTGGTGAATTTCGTTGTTCAATTTTATAATAATAGGTACCTCTATTTGAAGCATAGGAAATAATAATTTTATCACTTCAGCAAACATTAATATCAGTAGTACGGGTAAAAATTTGTATTTACCGACATTGCGTAAATTATCATTGTATTTCACTAATGTCAAAATTCCAGAAAGGTAGATGCAAGTGAAGGAACAATAAGATAATAGTAATCTCTGTTCCGTCTTATTTCCAACACCCATTTGGCTGCAATGTCCAAAATAATTTATTGAAGGATTAATTTTTGTTCGAACTTTGTAATCTCTCTACGACTTTCTTTTATAAAAAATAATACTTTCACATAACTTTAAAAAAGTCACAATAAACTGTATATCTTTATGCGTGAATTGAAGGGGAACCAGAGTGACATTCAGTACAGTATACAGTAGAGATACTATAACCAAAAAATATGGACGAGTATAGAAGCACGGTTCTCGGTACTCCGCGGGTCGCACGAGCTAGGGTACTTTGCTATAGTTTACGTCACGTATACTATACTGAAATGCTATAGATAGTACAGTATACGTGACGTAAACTATAGCAAGTATTCCAGCTCGTGCGACCCGTGGGGTACCGAGAACCGTGCTTTTATATATAAAGCGCAGTTTTCATTGACGCTAGAAACAGAGAGAAAGATGAGAGCGGCCAGGCCGGCGTTTTGGCTGTTACCGTTTTTACGGGACTGCTTGAAGCGCCCCTCGCACCCGTTTTTAATATCGGAACTAACTGCACACCCATTTTCTGGCAGGGTCGATAAAGTTTGTATTTGGTGCGAGTCCGTGCTACGCCCATAATTTTCGTGTTAACACAGTATCACGTATTCATTCTGTATATGTGCGATCTTTTCTCTTTATTTATATATATATATATATATATATATATATATATATATGTATTTATATAATTTGTATAAAAACTAAAATATAATTATTAAAATATATATATATATGTATATGTGTAATGAAATATATAAATCTTATTTTAATTAAAATAAAAAGAACGATTAATTGTTCGACCACCTGGATTTTGGAATGTAATTTTTAATATATATTATATTATATTTAATATTTATCGCCGCTTCTATTAATATGAAGTGCAATGTCAACGTGCAATAATGTACAATTATTTAAAGTTTCCATGCCTAATGTATCATGCCGGTATAAAAGAACGTCAAGTAGCATGCGTAGCCGAGCAACTAAGATGACGAGCTGAAATCGTGGACATTTCAAGTTCAAACCCCTGCCTTTTTCAGATTTTTTTTTCACTTTTTTCAAATAAGTTATTATGTGTATAAATGTGTAATAATCAATATATCATTATTTGATAATTTTTTTTGTAATGGAACAAAATAAATTATTTTTTAATTCTGCAAGGAATTTAATTATTAATGCAAACGCCCACACACATAATTTAGATATTCAATTTTTTTTAGTTCAAATGTTTCTTGCAATCTGTATACGACAATCAGTCCACTCGCTGTGCCACAGATTGCATCGCATAATACGCTCAGAGTTATAATACGATAGAGATCGCTTTACGCTGTTTTTCCTTGAAATAAATAAATTTTACGTGTTGTGTACGCGTGTTTAGTATATTTGTTTCTTTCATATTAATTTTAACTATAATTAGTTTTTTAATTAAGATTATTTTAGTGTTAGTTGTTTATTTGTTAGTGTCCTGTTTTCTTTAATTTCGCATTTTTTAATTTTCTTTTTTTTTTGGTGTTGGTGCTAATTATTATTTTTATTTTACAATGTCGAGTAAACACCGGTTTTACGATAAATGTGTGTATTTAAATTGCACAAATATTAGGACAAAAGATGGAAAACGTTTATTTCGATTTCCATTACAAACGGGTGCGAGACATGATTTATGGTTACGCAATAGTGGTGAGTTTATAAAATTGATTTACTTATTTATATCAATATATAATATATATTGATATGATATATGAAACAAATATATATATATATTCTTTGTTTTTTTTAATAAAATATGTCAGATATTATGTATGTTTACGTATGGATTACGTTGAAGTGTTTCTTTGCCGCGTTTTTCTGATCTCGCCGAACGGTTCGCGAATCCTGTGCGAATAAAAAACGATGCGCGTGTGTGTGTGCGTGCGATTGTGATGATCAGTTTCAGTTCGTCTTCAACGCTTGACGAGAGAAGAGGTCCCGAACTGCTGTAAGTTTATAAAAACATATTTTTGTATAACACATTAGAACGATTTTATATTATTTTTTTTGTCTAGAAAACGTTATATTAATAACCGTTATGAAAACGATCTCGACGACGGCGACGATGCCGGTGACGACCGTCGTCGAGATCGTTTTCATAACGGTTATTAATATAACGTTTTCTAGACAAAAAAAATAATATAAAATCGTTCTAATGTGTTATACAAAAATATGTTTTTATAAACTTACAGCAGTTCGGGACCTCTTCTCTCGTCAAGCGTTGAAGACGAACTGAAACTGATCATCACAATCGCACGCACACACACACGCGCATCGTTTTTTATTCGCACAGGATTCGCGAACCGTTCGGCGAGATCAGAAAAACGCGGCAAAGAAACACTTCAACGTAATCCATACGTAAACATACATAATATCTGACATATTTTATTAAAAAAAACAAAGAATATATATATATATTTGTTTCATATATCATATCAATATATATTATATATTGATATAAATAAGTAAATCAATTTTATAAACTCACCACTATTGCGTAACCATAAATCATGTCTCGCACCCGTTTGTAATGGAAATCGAAATAAACGTTTTCCATCTTTTGTCCTAATATTTGTGCAATTTAAATACACACATTTATCGTAAAACCGGTGTTTACTCGACATTGTAAAATAAAAATAATAATTAGCACCAACACCAAAAAAAAAGAAAATTAAAAAATGCGAAATTAAAGAAAACAGGACACTAACAAATAAACAACTAACACTAAAATAATCTTAATTAAAAAACTAATTATAGTTAAAATTAATATGAAAGAAACAAATATACTAAACACGCGTACACAACACGTAAAATTTATTTATTTCAAGGAAAAACAGCGTAAAGCGATCTCTATCGTATTATAACTCTGAGCGTATTATGCGATGCAATCTGTGGCACAGCGAGTGGACTGATTGTCGTATACAGATTGCAAGAAACATTTGAACTAAAAAAAATTGAATATCTAAATTATGTGTGTGGGCGTTTGCATTAATAATTAAATTCCTTGCAGAATTAAAAAATAATTTATTTTGTTCCATTACAAAAAAAATTATCAAATAATGATATATTGATTATTACACATTTATACACATAATAACTTATTTGAAAAAAGTGAAAAAAAAATCTGAAAAAGGCAGGGGTTTGAACTTGAAATGTCCACGATTTCAGCTCGTCATCTTAGTTGCTCGGCTACGCATGCTACTTGACGTTCTTTTATACCGGCATGATACATTAGGCATGGAAACTTTAAATAATTGTACATTATTGCACGTTGACATTGCACTTCATATTAATAGAAGCGGCGATAAATATTAAATATAATATAATATATATTAAAAATTACATTCCAAAATCCAGGTGGTCGAACAATTAATCGTTCTTTTTATTTTAATTAAAATAAGATTTATATATTTCATTACACATATACATATATATATATATTTTAATAATTATATTTTAGTTTTTATACAAATTATATAAATACATATATATATATATATATATATATATAAATAAAGAGAAAAGATCGCACATATACAGAATGAATACGTGATACTGTGTTAACACGAAAATTATGGGCGTAGCACGGACTCGCACCAAATACAAACTTTATCGACCCTGCCAGAAAATGGGTGTGCAGTTAGTTCCGATATTAAAAACGGGTGCGAGGGGCGCTTCAAGCAGTCCCGTAAAAACGGTAACAGCCAAAACGCCGGCCTGGCCGCTCTCATCTTTCTCTCTGCTAGAAATCAGCGTCAAACGGAGATCTCATGACTAAATTTGTCGCTTGTCTAATGCAAGGTCTGTAGATGAACGACGGGAGGGGAAGTAAGGCCGGCGTCCCATGGAGCGGATTACGCGGAAGCGGAACCAGCGGATCGCCAATCACGGAATCGTTCCGATGGAGCTCATTGATAAGTTCTATCGGAACGATTCCGTGATTGACGATCCGCTGGTTCCGCTTCCGCGTAATCCGCTCCATGGGATGCCGGCCTAAGGTCGTCACATCATTGTTTCAGCATGAACCCCAAAATGGCGCCGCCAATCCAGCCACCGGACAGATGTTCAACTATAGTTTTTTTTTTCACTAACCACTTTGTACGACACACACCGACATACAACACACATAACTTTATAGTCCCAAAATGGCAGCTCATGCAACAACCTTCCTTCCCTTCCCGAGCTCCATTAACTTAGCCGGTCGACTTCGACTTTAAAAATTTTTTTTAATCGTTTGTTGGTCGTTTGTTGGTGATTGTTGGCCCAACTGCAACGTTTGTTGGTTTATATATTTTTTTTAATTAAAAAAGAAAAATTAGCATTAAGTTAGCCGAAAAAATCTCACTTTTAATTAAAAAACGGTCTAATCAGTGCGTAATCGTTTGTTGATGATTGTTGGTTTAATTTTATCGTTTGTTGGTTTATTAATTAGTCTTAAAAACGAAAAATTATTACATTGAGGCCGCATCTACAGAAATCGAATATTATGATTTTGGTTTATTGCTTACGATTTAAGGTTTATTTCTATAAATGTAAGGTTAACAGGCTATGAATACGGGCCTTAATATCGGCAGGAAATTGAAAATATTTAGTTTTTTCTTTAATAGTAAGTTGAAATGATAAATTGCAAAATGTGAGATATTTAATAGACAAAGAATAAACTTGTATTTATATCTTTTTGTAATCTTGAAATTTTTAGATCTGTATTATATATCATCAATTCAATGCTAGTCAAAATATAAATTCAACATGAATAATTATAAGAAAAATAATAGTAGTATAATTATTATGTATAAATCTGTCAAAATATTGTTCTTGTAATTATTTATGCTGAATTTATATTTTGACTAGCATTGAATTGATGATATATAATACAGATCTAAAACTGCAAGGATCCTTACCAAGTATATAATTATTACGTATAAATTTGTCAAAATATTTTTTTTATAATTATATTAAAGCGGGGAGCACACACTCTTGCATAAGCGCATAAGCATGTGCATAAGAAATTCGATTGGTTGAATTTCTTGTGCATACGTTTATAGACCAATCAAGATTCTTATGCTTACGCTTATGCGCTTATGCAAAAGTGTGTGCTCCCCGCTTAAGGGTCGACAGGCGACATGGTGGAGACGCCTATCGGCCGGCCGGAATTACGGATTTGTTCATCCCAGCTATTAGCCAAATACTTAATAAATCTTATTAAATTTACGATATTTTTAATCAGTA